TTATAAAGCAAGAACTTCTAAAAATATAAAGTAGAGGTTTGCTTGCAGAGAATAAAAGAATGTTCATACTGGCTTCAGAAATCATCTTTGCAAAAATTTTTCCAGATATATTCATGGGCAATTTATTTTTCACTGGTAACAGTTAATTTATTTTTTTAAACTAAAAGCTTTCAGTTACATAACTAATACATAAATTCTAGTTCTTTTCAAAACTTTTAAAATTTTTTAAAATTGTAAAAATATCAAAGTACAGGAGAAAAATAACAGGTTTTTAAAAATATCCTCTAATCTCATCATAACTCATTTGAACAAAAATAGCCACGCTCAACTAATTTCCTACGAGCAACAAAAGAACTCATCCTTCTAAATCCATTAACTTCTCCAAATGCATGTCATTATATAATTCATTAGCAATCAGCAATTTACACAAAGGTATCTAGTATGGCATTATCTACAAAAGTAAAAAACTACTCAAATTTCTGACAGCAATGTTCTGAAGCAATATTATGAAATGTGTATGTCTTTAACCTGCATCATCTCAAAGTTTAAAACATGATCATTTCAGCTCTAAACAGCTCTATCTTGGTCTTGCCTATGACTATTAATGGAAAAACAGGTGTCAGTGCATAAAGAGTGAGTTTTTAGAAATTGAAATAAGAAGAGGTTGTAGTTTTTAATAATGTGGAAAGATCTATTATGGCCATGGAAATGAATGTATGAGAAAGGTCAAGAGCTTGGCTCCTTGGAGAAGTATTTAGGGACTAAGGGACCAGTGATTTGTACTAATCATTTAGTACATAGGTATACCTGGGTATACCATGGGTATACCATGGTAAATGGGTATACATTTAAATCACAGAAGTTTTTTAGAAGAGTGCTAAAAAAGAAACTCGCAGTGAGCCAGAGTTATATTCAAGACAAAAGAACTATGAAAAAAACACACTACAATGAAGGCATAGCTGGTGATATATTACAATGTCAGAAAGAAGTGGGTAGGATATGAGAATGTTAATGTTGAACCAAAAGGCAACTATCTCTCTTTAGGTAGAAGGGTGAGGAGGGTGCAAGAGAAAATTGCTACCCCTTGAAAGTACGACAAGGCAACCAGTGTCCCCAGGAGAAAATCTGGTAGGAAGGTAAGGGAACAGATTTAGAATATGAAGCATGTTGCTGTAGAACGACTGTGACTTCCAGAAACAGAGTGAGAAGGTCTAGAAATTAAGAAAGGAGTATAGATCAGAGTAGGGATGTTCTCATGCCTCATGATGCCCAGTCTGAGAGATGAGGGATAACCTCTTGTGCTTTAGGAATATTTGCAGCAAATTAAGGTAATACCATATAAAGTTGATATTAAGGGTCTGAAAGGAAATAGGGAACAACTTTGAGTACAAGGGCTGCAGGAGGCATAGATTCCAGAATAAGGGACAGCTTCTCAATACATGGATGGCTGGCCCTTCGGTTGAGACCTCCTATCAATCTATTCTACAGAGGAAGGGTTGAGTTCTAAAACTTCCACTTCTTCTTTAATAGTTTTAGGAACTCTTTGGGAAACAAGTGCAGCTTATATATTTGGAATTGGAAAGCCCAAGAGAGCCAGGCCGGATCCCTGAAACAGGGACTGTGAATAAATGGGGAGAGAAGACGTGGTCCTCCTGAATAGAACAAAAGAAAATAAAATGTGTTTCACCATTTAGTGAAATAAAACGTGCTTTGTAAATCTTGACCAGAGAAGATCAAACCAGGTTTGAAGATTTCTAGAACATGTGGCTTGTGATAGGCAGCGTATATGCGTGAGGGAAGAGGACCAAGAGAGAGCCACACACAGGGCCAACTTGGAGAGAAAACCAAAAGTCAATGAGAAGTAGAATATGCAAATTCTTAGAGCAGCTTTAATGTAAATCATTTCCTATGCCTTTTTTAGACCAGGTTTTAAACATATCTGTTTATGGATGTAGCATATGATCAAATGGGCTTTTTTTAATGTTTAAAATTAAATGAGAGGTTAAAACTTTAAAAATTACTTCTAAAGATTAAAGCTACATTATTTTATTCACTCTCTAACCATAAGGAGAAACATGTGCCCATGTAGATCTAAAACTCCCAGTGAACAGATATATTTCAAAAAGATTAAAGGCTTGTTGATCTGCAGAAATTCATTTAAATTGTTCAGGGAGCACATGGAAAATTATTTGAGTTGGTTAATGGAACCTGACAAATCAATTCCATCTTTTCCATCTCACTGGCCTATAAAAGCAAACAAAACCAAACTGATTTCATGAAAATTCTGAAAATTGTGATGGGCAGACATATAACATTGGTAAGGTTTAGAAGAGGATGAAGAAAAATTCTTTCCCCTCTCTCATCTACCTGAGTTCTGAAGATAAGAGAAATAGAACAGATGGAGGCCAAAATATAACAACTGCACTTGGGAAGACTTGGGAGGAAAACGAGGTTGAGATCAAATGGTTTCTAATTATTGGACTCCAAAGTTTAAAATACTTACTAACCCAGTAAAGATAGTGCTGGAAAGATCCTTGGTATTAGGAACAAAGAATACCTGACAGGTGGAACCAAATCACCTCCAGAAGATCAAGGGAAAGAGAAGTGTTTTTTTTTTTTTTTTTTTCAAAATAAAACACGAAATCCCAACTGCTAGGATTTGGGTTGTTTTACTTTAAAAAGTTATTTAATTTTTCTATTATAGTGTAGTCAATTATCCAAAACTTAGCAGCTAGAAATAACATTTTGTTATATCTTGCGACACCTGTTCCCTTTGGTGCTGACTGGGGTCTTGTGGGTGACATTCAATTGGTAGGATAATTAAAGGGTTCAAAATAGATTCACTCACATGCCTGGCCTTAGCAGAAACTGTTGGAAAGTTGCGTTCATCATGACCTTTCCTCCCTCCATGCAGTCTCAAGGTTTCTGCACATGATTTATTCAGCAAGGTAATTGGAGTTCTCACATGGAGAATCAAGACTGTAAAGGTAAGGATTCCAAGACACAGAAAATGCAAATACTAGGCTCTTAAGGGCTAGGACCAGAGATGGGCACAATATTGCTCTGATTCTACTCTGTTTGCCAAAGCAGTCAGAAGCCCATTCAGGTGCAAGGGGAGAAGTCATAGAATAGTGTAGATATGGTCTGTTTCCCAAAGTTTCATGTATGGAAAGCTTAGTCCTCAGTGTGGTGACATCAAGGTGTAGAACTTATAAGAGGTAGGGCCTCATGGAAGGTAATTAGGTCATGAATTCTTGATCCTTATTAATGTATTAATGCTTTTTCGCAGGTGGGTCAGGTCTCATTGACTGAACTACTTCCTAAGGAATGAATTATTATAAGGGATTGTGGCACCATCCTTGAATCTCTTTCTCATATGGTAGCTCACTAGCTTTAACCTCTCCTACCATTCTGATATCACCTGATCACCTACCATTAGGCCCTTACCAGAGCTGAGAAGATAGCTGGCACCATTCTCCTGAAGCTCTGCAACTATGAGCTAATTAAAACTTACTTTATAATTTACCTGGATTCAGGTATTTTTTTGTATCAATAAAAATGGATTAAAATAATGCATATATGCCATAACTCCATGAGAGGAATATTAAAAAAAAAAACTTATGACCATCTTTACAAGGTCATAGTTTGCCCATTGACCACACACAAAACCCATTCACAACTTCTCATGTTCATTGATGTTCATGTTCATTGCCTTATTGTCAGGTATTATGTGTAAATACCACTAGGACTGGGATTTACACATTTTTTTTTTAATTGAGAAAGAGTCTGTGGGAAAACATAAAATTTACTTTTTAAAAGAGCTATTAGGTAAACAATGAGAGTGAGAAAAAGGAACAATTTAATTATTCACTATCCCTTTTATTTATTTTTAATAATATATGCAAATACGTCTTTCAAAACTATTTATCTTGTTTTATCCTTTTCATCCTGATTAAAATACACTCAAAACTAGTATGGCTGATAGAAATGTAAATTACTTTGTCACAAGAGGGCAGAATTTTCATATGTATTAAAAATAAATGCCAGTGCTTCAAATAATTCTGAAGCTAGGTTAGCTTACGTTAGAAATGAGGAAAAAGGAAACCAAAGCAAAATTAACCCTTCAAAGTAATTATTTTGACAGGCTACTTTTAAATTATTGATAAGTGGATTTTGAATTTAAAATATTTTACATCAATAAAGTAAAATAAGCAGGAAACCAAATTTTAATCACAATAAAATTTTATTATTTTAAATGTTTTATGAAGATGCAAAAGTCTGTGGAAATAGTATATTAGATTGTGAATCTAGAATAAGGAAAATTATGTAAAATTGTTTTAAAGCAAAGTGGTTCAATGAAATAGAATACAAGATATAGAAAAATAAATAAGAACTTCTTATATGATAAAGGAGTCATTTTAATTATTTGGAGAATAAACAAGGCTAGATCCTTAACTTATACCACAAAATAATATTAACTCTAGGTAGATAATACATTTAAATGTTAAGATGAGAATTTGTGAATATTTACATAATAATTAAAAAGTTTCCTGAGTCTCTCACACAAGTCATTCATCAAGATGGAGGCAATGGTGACTTGGGCACATACTGCAAATTCTCCAGTTTGTTTGCAGTTACCTTTGCAAAACTGAAGGCAAATGACAAAGAAGCTATATTTGCAAGAATTATAAATGCCAATCATTACTGTTCCTTCCATATAAGTTCTTCTTAAAAATAATTAAGAAAACTATGAACATTCAACAGAAAAACGTAGACAAAGAATACAATTCACCCAGACTAGGAAATTACCATTAAGCAAGAAAAAAGATTCCACATTCTTTCCTCATAAATTTCATTCATAATAAAGTATATGAAAATTTAAACATCAAAAATGTTTTTTTTTAATTAGACTGGTGATTGAGAAATAGTAAAGAACCTAAATTTCTAGTGAGAGTTCTGTTGGAAAATGAGCTGTTTCACACACAGCTGGTAGAAATCTAGTGCAAATATTCTCACTGTTCTGATTTTGTAATAATCAGGATAGGCTAAACATATGCTGTATTAAGACCATGCATTTGTCCTCGGACCTAGTTTATTCTTTAGGTCTGGTTTTATAAATGCTGGTGATAAACCCTATCTGATTTATTATGTGATCTTTTTGTGTGGCCATATAATGGTTATGATTGTAGGTTATCTTTGATCCAACTAAAGAAAAATGACAGAACAGCTAGTGTAATAACTTGCAAATAATCAGGCTAAGTTGCAGACTTATCTAAAGAACATGTAATCAAAATTTGGGAAATTTTGCTACTACCAGTTGCCAGTAAATGTATTGTAAAATCACTGTTTTTATTTTGTAGGTGATTCTGATATCATTAGAAGCATGCCAAAACAGACTGGTGAAAAGTAAAACATGGAAAATTTTTCTTTGATGAAGCTTGGCAGAACTTGTTAAAAGAAAAGAAAAGAAAAGAAAAAGAAAGAAAAGGAAAGAAATCTTTCCACTCTTTTTCTGAAGAGAAAACCAGGACAAAGAATATTAAGCAACATACCATAAGTGACAGATAAGAAGTTATAGAAATCAGATTTTACTACAGAGATTGCTACCAGATGATTTATTATCTTTACTTTTTAAAAATGCGATTTAGGAATATATTATTTAGAATCTAAATCAAAGGCTTAAGCCATAATTGAGAATTAATGTAAAACTGCTGATTTTAGGAAAAATTTTGAACCAGGGTCTCGAATGCCTTATTGCTTTCTATGGTTTCTGCTTTCTCTCCATAATATATTTAGCTACCCACCATATCTAAATAGATATATCTAAACAGACATCTACATAATTTACATGTAAATTCATTCTGTAAAGAGCTTCAAGTATTTCACTTATCCACAACATAAAAAATACAGCTACTGAGAATGACTAAATCTGCATTTACTGTTTTTTTTTTTTTTTTTTTTTAGAAGAATCAACCATTATTAGTCCTACTTGGACTGGTGCTAATCCTGTTACTGTTGGTCAAAAACAAGAGATGGCAGGGAAGATTGATTGGCTGGGATTGGGTCATGTACATTGAGCTCCTTCCAAACATATGTAATCTAAGGAAGCTGTGCCATTATTAATTGTTACTATACTGTAGAATATGTGGAGGAGGATTGGTATTTATTTATTTATTTTTGTAGTGCAAGGGTTGCCACTTTTTAATTTTTATTTTGAGATGGGGTCTCCCTAAACTGCCAACGTTTTCCTTCAACTAGAGATGCTCCTGTGTCAGCCTCTTGAATGTCTAGGATTACAAGACATTACACCTGGCAGGAATTGGTTTTTAATCGAGATTATTCAATGTGAGGCAATCCATGGAAAGCATGCAGACATAATCAGGTTTCTGAATTTCAGAATTAGGGACCAGGTGCTGAACTATGCTGAATTCAATGATTCTACCATGTAAGGGCTTTTGAAAGCCAAGCTCTCTAGCCCACAACTCTGCCTTATATTGTATTTTTCTTTCAAGCTTCAATAAAGTCATGCCTCAATTTCAGATTTGTTTAAGCAAGAGACATAAAGTTTTAACTGGGCAAAAGAAATAAGTGAATTGTTTAAAAGTAGTTAAGAATACGGCATTTCATTTTTCACTCATCTTAGTAGGAGGTAGTTTTTTTAATTTAAAAATTTATTTAAATTCTGTTTTTTTTTTGCTACTGATATCTGTCTTCTTAAATAAACCCACTGCATTAGTTCTTTGTAAATATCTTGTCTATAATTTCTAAATAGTGCATACAATATGGAGAAAATACAACTGAATCTTGTGGAAATGTGGATCTGAAATAGAATGATCAAAGAATAAAGAAGTAGTTTTATTATATATAATTGTTTCACACAGAATATTGTAAGAAACCTCCATTTAACTTACCCAAATTTAATAGATTTGAAATTTGGACTAAATTAGGTACAGTACAGTCTTTACATCGAGACACATCTTTAGACACGCTATGTTCAGATATGTACCAAGGAAGAATGATGATAAAATCAATTCCAAAACAAAAAAAGGTAATCATGATAATGGTTCAGTATATTTCCATTCAAAAGTACTGTCCCAGAATTGTAGACCCTGAAAGCAAATCTTTAGTACCAACCATAGATATTATACTGAGGCACTGGAACAAGTTCCATGAGACTTATATTCTGACTCTTTTCTGTAGAAATACGCATGAGTCTTTGGACAAATGAACTTGGGCTTCCTCTTCTCTGTGGTATCATTCTGGAGACTAATGTCTGGCACATAATAGCCTGACTAGGTAGTAGTTACGGTGATTATTAACCTTTTTCCGGGTCAGTCCTTTTGCTCCATTCTTTCATTCATCTACTCAGCTATTCATTAATATCTACTCCTGACATTGGATAATGAACATTTCTAGCGATAAACAAAGAAAATTTGATTAATGTTCTTTTCCTACTATTGCTTAGTTCTTTGAAACAGTTCAGTGAATTTATTGCCAGTGTTCCTCAGAAAAGTACACTATGATATCCGGCACAAATTCTTTCATCTGGTTCCCAACTACTTCTGTGGTACAGTGTATCAGAATGATTATCTAAATTCTACTTTGATGGGGAAGGAGAGGGGTAGAAGCTGTTGTTTAGGTAGCTGGGTGGTCTGTGGGAGGAAAGTGGTGAAGCGTATCAGTCCGTCAGAAATATAGAACCAAGATTCCTTCACCTGTAGCTGCTTCTCCATTTTCATGTACAACACACAATCTGATCTTCTGAGCTTTTATTTATTATATAAATATTATATATAATATAGTTAAAATATTTTTACACCTTTATGACTTACAAATAATAATGTGATACATGTATATGAGGTATAAGGATCAAATAAGAGTAATGAACATTTTCATCTCATTAAATATTAATTATTTCTGTGTGTTGCAAACTTTCTTATTATTCTAGTTATTTTAAAGTCTATCAAAAATTGTTGTAACCAATCATTACCCTCCTTGGCTATAGAAAACCAGATATAACTACTTTTCTTTGAACTTTAGTGACTCTTATCTAATGTCTTCCCTCTCCTTCTCACTCTATTCCACTCTATCATTCTATGAGAGACATTTTAGGTTTTTTTTTAAAGTGGGTTTAAACTCATGGTGTTTGTCTTTGTCTAGCCTATCTTATTTAGCACAATGACCTCCAGTTCCATCCATGTTTCTATAAATGACAGGATTCAGCCTTTCTATGACCGAAAACATTCCATTGCATTTATTTGCCCCATGTGTCTTCTCCATTCATCTACTGATAGATACCCTGATTGATTCTGGATCTTGACTATTGTAACTAGAACTACAAAGAACGTTGGAGTACAGGTATTTCTGATCTGATAATTTAGTTTTCTTTTTTAATTTGCTTACTATGGAGATACCAATATTTTTATTTTCTGAATATGGTATTTATCTTAATCACTTTTACTACTGTGCACTTATTTTGAGGATGGAAGTTGGAGCAAATTACTCATTGATTTGTACTAAAATATCTTGTGACAGGGTCTTGACCTTTGCCACCATCTAGAAATGGACTTTTAAACACAATCAATTTTTAAAAATTAAAATTGATATTTTAAGAATTTCTAGTTAATAGAACACACTATTTTTTTTTAGACCAAAGTATGGTATAGACATTTGAATAATTTTTTTTAAAAAGTACAGTACTTGTCTGGACTTAAAGGATTGGGTTAGTTGAAGCAAAATGCCTTATCATAATAAATGTTGCTTAAGAGTTACTAAATTTTTACCAATTAGTAATTTTTTTAAAAAAAATATAATGCCAGATTCTTTATATAAACAGGTAAGTTTATTTGTTATTAAAGGACCCAAAACACATCAAAATGGTATAAGGATTTTGTTAAACTGAAAACATCTGAACAAACAGAAGCCACAGGAAGAAACTTTATCTCAATATCTCAATTTCCCTTTCCTGACATCCAAAACCACCCAAACTTACAGCTTCCATAAATCCCCCACTGAGGGAGTTTCCTGTTCAACTTTTAGACTGATCTCTATTACTGAATGTGAATAATCAGCTGCTATAGTTCATCCATTGGAGGAGGAGTTCTTGGCCAGGAAGAAGGCTGCCAATCAGCACTGGTATGAAAAATTGTGTAAATGAGCCCAGCAGCCCTGGCAGACTTTCCCCCTGAAGCCCTTAACACTCTTTCCTTTGTTAAGTGGGTAGACAAGCACTTGCACCTGGCTGTTTGGGAAGCCACTCCTCACAGAGTACGGCACCTGTGTGAATGTTAAACTTTTATCCTGTATGACTGCTAATTTTTGTACCTTACAGAGTCATCAGGTCAAACATAATTCTGGGTGTGTTCTGTGGAGGTGTTTTTGAGATGAGCTTAACATTTTAGTTAATTGACTGAGTAGAGCAGATTGCTCTCCATCATGTCAGTAGGCCTCTTCCAATCAGTTGGAGGCCTGAATGGAAAGAACTAATCCTGCCTGAAATATTAATTTTTCTGCCTGGCTGCCTTTACACGGAAAAAACAGTATCTTCAGGCCTTCGGACTAGAGCTACATTATTGGCTTTCCTGGTTCTCAGGTCTTCAGACTGAGCTCTCTTTTGACTGCCCTGAATTTCTAGCTGGTCTATTGACAATCTTGAGACTCGTCAGTATTCGTAATTGTGCGAGCTAACTCCTTGTAATAAGTCTGTTTACTCATAAAAGTGCACACTGATTCTCTGGAGAACTCTGATAGATCCTGCTAATCTATTTATTGTCAATCAAATTGTGGACCCCGACCACCCAGAAGTAATTTAGCAGGGAAATATTTTCCCTCCAAATGTTTTGAGAACAAGGAAAGTTCTCAAGGACTTCCTGCTTACTCTGGAGGCTGCAGATGAAATCTAGGGAACTCTGATCAAACTGACAAAGGTAAGCCTTCCCACAGGTCATTCTGCTGGGTCTCTGCTCAGAATCTGGTGGAGCAAGGTAAAAACAATCCTTGTTTGCCCTTTACAAAAGAGGAATTTCCAAAATTTAGATTTACAAATTTTTTATTGTTGTTGTTTAGAACAAATTCTTTGACTGTTGTGACTTGGTTTGATTAGTACTTCAGAGGCTTCCAAGAGATAGCCACT